TATACGTTTTGACGACTCGTATGTACTTCTGGGACTTGTAATAATTTTCTGGGAACTGTACAGCAAATCACATATTTTCCTTATTAATAGTTCATTGTTTTTCTAAATTTCAGTTTTTATTGTTCATAATTATTTACAGTAATAACATATTTTTCCGTGTGAGTATGTTTCATGAATTAATAGGCCACTTCTTTGCTTCAATTCCAACTACATCTCTGGAAATATCACTTGCTGTTTATCGTCCATATTTTGATATCCCACAATGAGTCAATTGCGTATCTGGAAATTCTAACTACTATTTCGCAAAATTTGACCAGCCTTGCTTCTACCAGTCATTTAAGTCAACTCCCATATTGCCCTTCACATGAAGTTTAATGCAGATATATTGTGAATTAAACAATTCCCTTGTATTACATAACAATCTTTGAGCTGAGGCAGTTATGGTTCTACAACCATCACCAGTTCTCTTGTATAGATTAAATTCTATCTCGTCAGTTTCAAAGGTAAAACACTGTGCTTATGGTATTTATGAACTTTGATTTATCTGTTTGTGTCCTAACTTTGGTGAGAAACTAGCGATCGCGCAGTGCTGGTCACACTTTGCCAGGAAAAAAAAACAGTCCTGCTATTATTGTAAGAACTGGTTATGAAACATGTAAATCGAAAGTTTATCCCGTCATTTAGGAGGCATGGGAATTACGTTTGGCATAAAAAATACTGGAATAATAAAAAGATAAAAGTTTAGAACACGCTGTCTCGTGATTTGCGAGAATATATTTTATTGTGAATCTGTTATGCACGATTGCTATTTCCGGTGTTCATTGGCACTTGCTAGCAGATTGAAAGGAAGTGTGAAACCTGGTTTTGTGAAGACAAAATTATTGAGAAAACACAAGTCAAGTTCGACCAACCGTGATTGCTTGAAAGCAATGATGAAATTGAGAAGTACTGTAAATCAATATCAATGAATCTATCATCACTTTTAAATAACCTTTGAAGTAAATATGATACCCGAGTGCTGGAGAAATTACTACACCCGTGACCGATACATCGTTGACCATTGGACATGGATGACTACTGGGTTCTACCGGTGTTGAAGATTATCAGATTATCAGTAAATCGAACCTCTATCAACAGAGACACATTTTCCCAATCAGCTATTTATTTCCATACTGATTAAGTCATGGTGGCAGTTCCAATGTTTAGCTATCATAATTAATCTCCATTATGAGCAGAAAAGTAAATTAGAGGCCGCGATTGAGATGATAGTTCTTAACGGCGGCCATGTTTTTATCCCTAATGTTGACTATGCAGTATGCAAATTACCAGCACGTACGCGAAGCTATTAGAGCAGTGAAGCAAGATTAGGGAGGGGGTCAAATTCACGTAATCCTCAATTTTAATGATGTTGACTTAATAGTCATATTTTTTTTTCAAAACTCCAGATATTATTTTATATAATTGTAAACAGTTAACAATATTAACTAATCCAAGGCCACAAACTAGTTTATCCAAACAGACACAACACTGTCACTTCTACATTTTTGCAGATCTGATTTGTACACTTCCTTGTCTTTTTACCTGTTGTACTGGTTTGTCGCTATCTGGTTTTCTTGCTGAGAATAATGCTGACCCGGATGGAAAGTGCTATAAACTTGAAAATGCAATATAAATCACGTTTTCCAATTTATGTCCATGTAAATTTCAAATGACAACAAGCGAAGGCAGTGTCATTCATGACTTGTCGAATGATATCTTCAGTTCTTTAATTGAAATGTGCCTTGCTAACAGCGGAGCTATCTCTGCCGACAAACTGCTTGTTATTATTTGAAATGTAGTTCAATTTACTTTTGATCTGGTGAATAAATAAATCTATTTTATATTGTATCATATCGTAATTTGTTTTTTTAATGAAAGTGTTTATGAAATGGTATATTCTGCAAATTTCAGTTTCTGTTCCAAAGTCATGTCAAGGAAAAATTAATTACCGATAAGTTAAATCAGATTGAAAGAAAAACACTGAATTTTTTGTAATCACATACAGTAGAAACAAGAACCATACTGATAATATCAATCATCAAACAAATCTGCAATCATATTGCAGCCAGACAACAAACTACCAAATGATGACAGCCAAAACACTTCTTAAATGCACATGTCATCTTTGAAGTCAAAAACACTGAGATCTTAAAAGCAAAAGTGAATGCCTAGAACATGTTTTTGAGTAACCCACCAGCTGCAAAATATACACCCCATAAGCTGTTGATGTAGGAATGTGGACAATTAACAATAACAAAATTAAAATCATCATGTTGTAATACAGACTGGCAGTGTTCTCCCCAGGCCTTTCAAACACCGCAGACCCGTGTTGCTTAGACAAACAGCCACGTCACTTTCGTTTGGCCCGCGATCCTTAAAATCCTCGTCTTGTACATTTTAAAACAATAACATGTATTGGTCGAAAGGTAATCCGCCTTTGTACATGGTTAGCCTTACAAAAACAGTGATAAAAACGAAAGTCTACAAAAAGTTGCCAAGTGTTTCAAAGGTGCGGAGCTGGCAAATCCAAATACTAGGGTAGTAATAATTTGCCCATTGCGTCGGGATAGTCTATCCAGAGTTGCTGCACTGCGGTTC